GCCAGACCTAGGAGCTGGGAGAGCAAGAGAGAGGTGAGAGGATGCAGCAGGGGGACAGGACCCAGCTCTCCGAACCTCCACGCTCTGTGCATTCGACATCAGAAGCTGGCCTGGGGGTAGTTATGAAGGTACAGTTGTCAAGGCAGGAGGACAGAACATACTTTATTTAATAGTTTGTTAGCTTCATTTACAGCTTTCAAAACCTTAAATGTATGGCACATTGGCCTCGGCTCATAGTCCCGCCTCAGACCCTGTGTTGGGGGTGGGCTTGGCGCTGGGCAGTGGTAGGGGTCCTCTCCTCTGGAAATTCATGTCTGTCCACTCTGGGACACTTTCTTGTTACTTCTCAGATGATTTCTTCTGTGCCACCTTCACTGCTCTTTCCCTCTGCAGCTCTGACCAGCTGTGCGCTGGACCTCCTGGGCGAGCCCTCTCGCTTCTGTAGCGCTGCTCTCTTATTTTCCTTTTCTATTTCTCTTTCTCGCTTGCTCTTTTTTTCCCCTCCAAACTGTCCATTTGAAATTATTCATTTCCGCTATCATAATTCCAACTTCCGAAAGCTCTTTTGTGTTCTTCTTCTAGTGCTCCTTTTTGGAATGCAATCCTTGTTTTTATTTAGCACGGTGTTTTGCCTTCTCCCTGCGTGGTCTGTTTTCCTCTAGGTTACTCCCTTTTGTCTGCTCGCCTGCCCGCTTTCGTTGTGTGTGTGGGGTCTCGGGAGAATGGTAAGATGTGTTTCTCGAATATCCCTGACCACCCGCTCTTATTTGAGAGCGGGCTGCTGAAATGCAGATCGGAGGCCCTGTGAATGTGCCTGGTCGCGTGCTCTGGAACTATACCGGGAGAACCCCGGTTGTGAGCGTATTTTGCTCCTTTGTCCTGGGCTGATCAGATCCCTGGGAAGCTTCTCGCGCCTCCTGTGGGACACAGGCCTGACTGCCGCAGTCACGGGATCTGCATCAGGGGAGCCGGGTGGGTGTCTCCACGGGAGTTTGTGAACTTTCATTTAATTCCCTCTGTTTCCAGTTTCACCCCTTTGGCCTGAACTGGTCTTTGTGTTCCCCGGTCCAGAGACCCCCTTTTTAGCCCTGTGCATCACCTGGCGTCCTTAATTTACCGTAACATTTTTGAGTTTTGTCCACGTCATAGCACGCATCCATAGTTCATTCCCTTTTATTCCTGAGTACCATTCCATTGCACGGATATGCCACATTTCGTCCATTGATGAACCTTAAGTTGTTCCCAATTTGGAGCTATTAAGAGTGACGATGCTAAGAACATTTGTGAGCGAGTCTGTGTGCAGAAATATGTTTTCATTTTTCTTGTGTAGATACCTAATTTCTCTGGAATTTCTGTAGCATATGGTAAATTAAACTTTTTTTTTTTTTTTTTTACAATTCAATGGTTTTTGTATGCTCACAGAGTTGTACAACCATCGCCACAATCAATTTTTGAACGTTTTCAACATCTCAAAAAGAAACCCCATGCCATTTAGTTATCACATCCCCATCGCCCTACCCGTACGTCCTCAGCCTCGGCCTCAAGCAACCACTAATCTACTTTTTTTTTTTTTTTTTTTTTTTAACTTAAACATTTGTAAAATCTACTTTTTAATTAATTTTTTCTTTTATGCATTGTGCTTTTATATAAGAACTCTTTGACTAAGCCCAACTTCACAATGATTTTCTATTTTTCTTCTAAAAGTTTTATTGAGTTTATGCCTTTTTAATGTTTTAAAAAAGCTCCTTTATTGTGTGAAATGTCACCACTTAAAATTTTAAAAAACTAAATTTATTTAAAAATACTTCATGGGGATAAAGAAGAAACAAATATAGCATGATATGATTCAATATTAAATCTAGGTGATGGGTGAGTGGGAATTTGTTATACTTTTTGTAGGTTTGGAGTTTTTAAAAATTATCTTTTAATCCATGTTTGGTGGCTCACACTATTAATCCTTGCCACTTGTTAAGGCCAGGATTTGAGGCCAGGTGTTGTGAGACCGCCTGGAACATAGCAAGATCCCTTCCTACAAAATTTAGCCAGGCATAGTGGATGCAGCTGAAATCCATCTACTCGGAGGGTGAGGCAGGATCGTATGTCAGGAGTTTGATGTTTACGTGACTATGAGAATGCCACTGCAGCTGAGCCCTCATGCAAAGTGAACCCTGTCTCAAAAATATAATTATATATACACAACATACACACATTACTTTAGCATCATTTTAGTAGGGAGATGTAAGGGAGTGGAACTAAATGCATTTTTTTTTTCCAGAGAAAGGGCTTCTATCTGTTCAACCCAGGTGGAGGTGTAGTGATGTAATGCAGCAGCTCTATAGCCTCAGACCCTCCTGGGTCAAGGATCCTCCAATCCTTAGCCTCCACAAGTAGCTGGGACTGCAGGCGTGTGCCACCACACCCAACTAATTTTTTTTTTCTTTTTTTACAAACAGGGTCTCGCTATGCTGCCTTGGCTCGTCTCAAACTCCTGTCTCAAGGGATCCTTCCACCTTGGCCTCCTGAAGTGTTGGGTTTATAGACTCGAGCCACTGTGCCCAGCCATATTTCTTAGTCATTTTTATAGGGATGACAGTGTAAATCTTTAATTTTTCCCAGTCTACTTAGAGTTAACTTTATATTACTGCTCCTGAAATGTAGAAACCTTGTAACTATACAAGTCCATTTACTCCCTGTCCCAATGCTTCAAGCTATAGTCATCATATATTTATTATATCCATATCTGTTATAAACCTTAGAGGCTTCATTGCTTTAACTTTTGCTATAAACAGCTAAACGTATTTTAACAAAATTCAGAGGATTTCTTTCCCATTTCATAGTCTTCTTTCCCATTTCAGAATTTTATAACTCCCTTTTTAAAAATAGTTGCCTACTGAGAAGGAACGTTAGCTATCATCTGGCATCTAATCCCCACATGCAGAACTGGGTCATGGAGACTTCACATCCAGGGACCTGTTGGACATGAAGTTGGACTTTTTCCCTCTGAGAATAGAATTCTTGGTTGGCAGTTCCTTCAGGACTTTAAAATTATAATCCCCATTGTCTTCTAGATCTAATATGTTAAGTTGAAAAGTTAGCTAACAGTCTTATCGTTGCTCTTTTGAAGGTAGGGTGACTTTTCCCTTCTAGCTACTTTTAAGATTTTCTCTCTCTCTTTAATTTTCAGCAGTAAAACCATGGTGTTCCCAGGTGTGATTTTTCTTTTATTTACCTTGACTGTCATCACATACAGATCCAAGAAGCTCAACGTGTTTCTCGAATGTGTGGTTTGATATGTGTTTGGATGTCTTTCACCAGTTATGGGAAATTATCAGCCAATATTTATTTAAAATCATTCCTTCTGGGACACTACCTGCTTGAAAGTTAGACTTTTGCCCCCATGTCCCATTTTTCTCTTAAGCCCTTTTCTATATTTTCATCATTTTCTCCCTCTGTGTGTATGTCTGAATATTTTCCTATTTTCCTTTTTTTTTTTTTTTGAGACGGAGTCTCGCTTTGCTTTGTTGCCCAGGCTAGAGTGAGTGCCATGGCGTCAGCCTACGTTACGCTAGGCTCAAACTCTGGGCTCAAAGCATCCTCCTGCCTCTAGCTCCCAAGTAGCGTGGGACTACAGGCTCGTGCTACCATCCGCCGCTGATTTTTTCTAAATATATTAGTTGGCCAATTAATTTCATTTCTATTATATAGTAGAGACAGGGTCTCCGCTCTTTGCTGCTCCAGGCTGGTTTCGAATCCTGACCTCTAGCAATCCGCCCGCCTCAGCCTCCCAGAGTGCTAGGATTACAGGCATGAGCCACCGTGCCTGGCCTGTCTGAATATTTTTTTTTTTTTTTTTTTTTTTTACTTTTTGCCCGCAGAGAATGACAACTTTTTATGAATTTGTTGATATTGAACTTGTTTTCCAGTTCACTAATAATTTATTCTGGTAATCTATTAAATTCATATATTGAACTACTAATTTTTATCATAATGATTTTTCTAAAATTTCCATTTGGCTTTTTTTAAAAAATAGATTCTAGGTCTTTAGTGACATTATTCATCTTTTCCTTTATTTTTAAAACATATTAATCCTAGTTATTTTAAAGTCCCTATCTGATAACTTCCCAACATATGACTCACCTGTGGTCTTTTTGTATTTCTCCCCTTTGTTTTCAGTGATTTGGTCCTGAATTTTAGTATCTTACAATGGAAAAATAGTCTTTTATATTTACTCACATATTTACCATTTTCAGTGTTACTCATTTCTTTGCAAAGATCCAGTTTCCCGTGTGGTATTAATAAAATTCCCCTTCAGTCTGAAGAACTTCCTTTAGCATTGCTGTAGCAAAGGGTTGCTGGTAACAGCATTTCTTAGTTTTTTATATTTTCTGAAAATGTCTTTATTTCACCCTAAATATTGAGAAGTATTTTCACCGGATATAGAATTCTGAGTTCTGTCAACACTTAAAAGATATTTCATTGTCCTCCGGCCGCCATCGTGTCTGATGAGAAGTGAATATTATTCAGATCCTTGGTGTCCTGTATCTGTTGTGTCGCTTTTCTTTGTCTCCTTTCCAGATTGGGTCTTTATCTTTGGCTTTGAGCGGCTCCACTGTGAAGTGCTTAAGCATAGTTTTCTTTGTGTTTATTCTGCTTGGGGTTCTCTGAGCTTCTTGGATCTGCCTGTAATATCACCCAATTTGGGGAAATTCTATCCATTATTTCTTCAAATCTTTTTGTGGTCCAGTTCTCTCTCTCCTCTCCTTTGGGGACTCTCATTACTCACTTGAGATTGCCTCATAAGTCACTGGGGCTTTTTTCCTCCATGCTCTTTCTTTGTCTCTGAGCTTCAGTTTAGACAGATCTTTGTCCCATCTTCAAGTTTACTGATCTCTTCTTCTACAGTGTCCAGTTTGCTGTTAAGCTCATCCAGTGAATTTTGTTATTAAAGATATTATATTTTTCAGTTCTAGAATTTCTATTTAGTTCTTTTGATTCGTTTCTGTATCTGTCCTGAGATAGCATATCTCATATATATTTCTTTATATATAGAATCTTTGAGAATATTTATGTTATGGACTGAACCATGTCCCCCCAAAATATATAGGTGGCAGCCCTAACCCCCGATAAGACTGTAATTGGAGAGGCAATCAAGGTTAAATGAGGCCATATGGGTGGGCCCTGATCCAATCTGACTGATGTCCTTGTAAGAGGAGAAAGAGACACCAGGATGTGTGTTCACAGAGGAAAGGCCATGTGAGGACAGAGCAAGAAGACGGCTATCTTCAAACCTAGGAAAGAGGAAACCAACCCCGCTGCCACCTTGATTTTGGACTTCCAGCCTCCAGAACTGTGAGAAAATAAATTTCTGTTGTTTAAGCCACCAAGTCGATTATGTTTTATCATGGCAGCCCTAGTAGACTAATACAACTTATAATAACTGCTTTAAGATCCTCATCTGCTGATTCTAACATCCTGCTCATTTGGGGGTCAGTCTCCATCGACTATCTTTTCTCTTGGTGGTGGGTCACATTTTCCTATGTCTTTGTGTGTCTAGTAATATCAAATGGTATCCTTAACATTGTGAATGATACATTCACAATCCAGAGATTCTGAATCCTGCCTTCCTCCAAAGAGTATTGACTATTTATTTTAACAGTCACTTAACCTGGCTGGATCCAATTTGCAAATTCTGTCTTCCCTAGAGTGGGCAGCAGCTAAAACTCCAGTTCAGTTCTTTCAGCCTCAGCATGGAGTCTGCCTTGGGCATGCGCTGTTCATGAGTCAGCCAGGGATTCGGGCAGAGTTTGTACACAGAATTTGGAGCACTCCTGCTCTGTTTCTGTTCTTTCCAGGTTTCCCCTCCTGACTTTCCAGCAGCTACGATTGTCCTGTGGTTCTGCAAACCAATACGACTGTGAGTTTTCCATTGGCGTTTTTAGCCACCTGGACTGGCAGTTACTGCAGCCTCCCCCAGACGATAGGCCGTGACAGTGTTAAATATCTAATGCAGTTTCATTCTTTCAGGTGTCGACGCACCTCCAGGATTGCTTTTGGATTCTCTCCAGGGCCTTTAGATAATTTTCAAAATATTTTGTCCAGAATATATGTAGTTGTAATCTTCAGAAGGGTTGATGAAATAGGAGCTACTTGCCCATACCTAAATATAAGTCCTACATATGACTGGACTCAATCTAGATCTCTCTGCCTTCACTTCCTCTACCTTAGTCTAAACCACCACAGTGGTGACAAGGCTAAATAAAGCAGTAACTTCCAAACTGGTTTCTGCTAATCCTCCTCACCCCTGTCCAACTCCTTCTCCACATGCTCAGAACATTTCAGTGGGTGGGTCTGGGAGCCACTGTTCTTACTCTACACACTGCCTGGGATATTTCATCCACATCTGTCTCAGTTGCCATTTATCTGCTGATGGCTCCTGAATGTGCACCTCCAGTCTAGAGCTAACTCTTACACACGCCACTGACTGCTGGATGTGTCTTTCTGCTTATGTCACGGAATCCTTGAATTTACCATGTCCTAAACCGACATCATCACATCTTCTCTCAAAACTACCTTTCTTGTGTTCCCTATCACAGTGAATACCCCCACCATGCACCCAGTTGCCCAAATCAGAAATCTAGGAGTCATTCTTTTTTTTTTTTTTTACATTAAGATATTCACACAGAAGGGAGTCATTCTTGATCTCCCTGACTCAATGTTTCATCTCCAAAACCTCTTAGTCTTCATTTCCTTAATCTCTCAGATCTCGTTTTTCTCCATCTTTTTTCCTCCCTGAGACAGAGTCTCACTCTGTCACCCAGGCTGGAGTGCAGTGGCGTCATCACAGCTCACTGCAACCTCAAACTTTGGGCTCACGCGATCCTCCTGCCTCAGCCTCCTGAGGAGCAGGGACTACAGGTGCACACCTGTTTTGTATTTTTTTGTAGATAAGAGGTCTCGCTATGTTGTCCAGGGTAGACTGAGACACCTGGCCTCGAGCCTCCCAAAATGCTAGGATTGGAGACTCGAGCCATCGTGCCCGGCCACATCTTTCTCCATCTTCACTGCCACTGCTACCACAGTCTCTAACCCGGGTTATCCAGTGGCATTCTGGCTCCCTGACTTTCCCACTTCTGGTCTTCCTCTGATCCCTTCTGTGAACAGTAACCAGAATAATCTTTTGGCACTTCTAGGTCTCTTACTTCTAAATATAAAATTTTGAGTCAGCTTATGAGTTAAAAAAAAAAAGCCTGCTGGGATTTTGATTGGGATTGTATTGAAACCAAAGATCAATTTGGGAGAAATTGCCATGTTAATAATATTGTCTTGTAATTCTTGAATGTGGTGTCTCTCTGCATTTTTTAGGTCTTCTTTTTTATTTTCATATATTCTTTTTATTTCGTTATATTATGGGGGTACATATATTGTTAGGGTTACATATATTACCCCTGCCGCCCCCCCATACCCCGCCCCGTGCCAGAGCTTCAAGCGTGTCC